TGATATTAAAAAAAAGGAGTTATAAATTGCATTTTTATATTTTTAACAAGATACTACGAGCAACCAGTAGATTATGTTTACAAGATGCTGTGGGGCGCACTTGCAATGGTGTATATTTATACAAATAAATAATAAATAAGAATAAATAATAAAAGTCTGAAGACGAAGTTCGCGGGAGTGGAAAAAATAAGTTTCCGTTCTTATTAACACAAATAATGAGAAACTGGGTTTCCTCCATTCCTACTGTTTGTTTTTTGTTCTTTGCAACAAATATCGATGAATAATTTCAAGTGGTTCAAATATACCAAATCACTGCCAAAATCACTTGAAGTTATGATTTAAAAAACAATTTTTATGTTTATTTACTCGGTTATTTTTTATCCCCGGTYCGTTRGAATAATAAAGCATATAATATATTTAAAAATCCCCGGAAAACCATCCTATATTTATACACTCGACCCTCTATACAGGCTTAACATATACTCAGTAGGAACTCTATTAAATTTTCACAKGTCGCCAGACAAAACCAACAAACTGGACGCAAGAGGGGAACAAAAAAAAACATAAATCAAGTTGACTTTTAAAGATACATATTTATWTAAATACAAGGTAAAAACAAAAGTACTTACAAGACTCGTAAATTAGTMAGGTTGGCAAAGTCAGTAGACGATATGACCGTAATGTTGTTTCCCTGCAAGTCTCTGTAAACAAAAATAAATACATTTATTAGTTTATTATTTAAAACCAAAATAACAATGAGGAAACTTCACTGGTCCCATTATTCACAATAAACATTGAACTATAATAATATCCATTACACTTACATCTAAGCTATTAAAATGTTTTAGAAAGTATACACTGTACAGTGTTGTATTAGTAATAAAATCGTATGCATTGCTACAACGTATTTTAACGGACTAATTACTTCGTACATATTTTATACTTCATACAACATCGTCGTTGGAACTTAATGCGTAGCACCAAATTTTTCGAATTTATAACGAGTGAGTCGAGTGACAAGCAAAATACTTAGATTTCCTTCTGAAGCATATAGTCATTACTAATTACGGTTACTTTCAACTTTCAACATTAGATAATAAACTATTCAGAGTGATTGTCCAAGCATCTTTACTTCCTTTTTCCTTCTTCGATAATGTATAGTTATTAAAAATCTGACTTTTAGAATTTTCAAATACTATACTTTAGACCATATTTTCAAAAAGTTTTAAGATTCTTTTATACAACCTATACCTACTTGAAAGACATTCCGTCCTTAAGCTTCTGGTTTTTTTTTTTTTTTAACGAGACCCCCTCCTTCTCTTTTCTACTGTAAATCGTTCATAATTATTTTTATAAAAAAATTAGAATTCATTAGATATTAAATTAAAAAAAAATGGAAGGAGCATGTTTGATGAAATGGTGTATCACTCTGTATAATATGATATTGCTATGTACATAGTCCACGGCGTGGTGCTGTTTTAATACAAAGTGACTGTAATAAAATCCGGCGCGTTTATTCGGTTTATTGTCCATAAATCAGAGACGGACGGTAAAACGTCSAAAAACGAAATCATTACAATGGGACTRGCTGCGATAAAAACCGCGGGGTCGGTTGTAAACGTTATTAATTTTACACTTTAAAACACGGACCCCGCTGAGATCGTGAGACCCATGTCATGGGATAAAATCAGTGCACTGTCGTGTCGTGGCATTCCGCACACAAGACTATAATACCTTCAATAATATTATACCTAATAAAGGTAGTTTGCTAAAACCGTTTGAATCGCCCACAAAATATTCAACCTTATCATTATAATAATGTTTCCATCGGTGTACGCGTGTGTGTGTTATAGCGCRGCAAACGTATATAAGTCGGAAATAAAAATGCATTTTCCCGGTACCGCGTGCGCTTGAAAATCGATTTTTATTTTTTTGTTTCACCAAACGATATATATGCTCGATTTAGGTTCTTTATTGAACACAGAAACGTCGACAACAACTACCTTGCTTCTTCTTCGCCGATCGTAATCTCTTGGACAAAAAAAGTGCTCCAACAAAGAGGCTTAACTTGTTTGCTGGCTTTCCACTCGAATAGTTACCGTTTGACGATAGCTATCCAACGGTATAATGCATGTAAAATATACCATTTCATATACTCTTTATCGTAAATCATTTTTTTGCTCCATACTTTTTTTTTTTATTCATGTCCGTTCTACCATTTGTAGAAGGCTGCTATATAATAACTAAATATGATTTCTGAAAAATGGCCAAGTGGAAAACTTATCGGCTTAAAAATGATAAAATATTTAAATCTATATAAAAGTACTCAACTGTAGTTTAAAAAAAATTGTTTTTTATGTATAGGTGCCCATAGTATAATTTAATATTACACTTTTACGTTAAAACATTTTTAACAATATAATATGTGAATGCAAATTAATTTCGTTTTGTAAAACATGAAACATTATTAAATTATTATTACATTACATCTGAATGCTACTTTTTTTAAATTAATTTTTCGTACAGGGATTTTTTTAAATAGTATACATTATTGAAACTCGATTGGGTCATTATGTARTTTATTCAAATAAAACATATTTATCATGAATTCAGTTAATTGTGTAATGTACGAAACATTTATATTTTTACCTGGGGCAAATTAAAATTACAAAATATAAATCTTACACGAATAGGTACATCAATGAATGGCTTTAAACAAATATTGTATACAAACAATATAAAAAATATGTTATAAGAAATCATACCAATATCACTTGAGTACACAAACATCCGTGGGATATTGTAGTTGGATCGACTACAAATGGGGTTATGTTTAAAGCAAACAAGTAATATTATCAGGCTAACGGTTCAAAGCGCGACTCAAATTAGRCGAAAATAGAAAAGATTTTGCTTTAAACAGACGTTTGGTAACTTTTATTCTTTGGTAAAAAAAACAAACATTATTGTTGGACAAATATTCTAATTTCCCGAGTAAAAATAAAAATCATAACAAAATATCGATTAGCGAATGAGTAATAAAACAAATCGTATTAATATTAAAAACAAACATTAAAAATGGTTTCAATGAAAATACTGTAAAATTATCAAACGTCTTCTATTATAATTTGGGACTCTTCGTTAATTTATATTATTATTTTATGTGTGTAAAGTACCTATTTTGGATCTTTAATCGTAATTGAAAACCTATACTTAGAAATTGATTRTAAGACTAAATTAATTTGTCGCAAATAGTCGAGGAAATACTGCGGGTGTGTAGCTCATTTATTTTTATAAAACAGACGTCGTAAACCATATGACAATATTTGAAGTATATTATTCAAACACCTCAGTGCGGTCGGTTACATTCGAAAAGGCAATGTAATTTCGTTTGGGAAACGATGTCTTTTTTTTAAAAGCCGAGTTTGAAAAAAAATACAAATACCACGTGCATGGAGGAAATAAAAAACAAAGAAAGGGTAATTTGTTAGTCTCAAGTCTGCGACGAACAATATAGTGCTGTATATTGTTTTCCGCTCTTGTCYGTCKGCTAAACGAAAAGAATTACCAATCGATTTGTCTGTTTTCGACATACAAAAAAATTGCGAAACATAAAGAAAACCGTCAGCACCAATACTGACTTCCAATAATGCAGTGAATAGGCGTTTCTACCAAACACACATTCAGGTAGTGTGAAAAGTTRAGAAAATAATCGATTGATCACGTCTTGTCAATTTTATTGTTGATTTAAAACTGATTTTACTGTTATTATAGATAAAGGTAATCATTATATYAATTATAATTATTCCGTTTCACGCACCTGTATAAACAATATTAAAAAGAACTAATAAGTTTTTTTTTTTAAATTAAATTTATAATAACCAAACAAACGTGATTTACATTCTGTAAACAATAGTAACGATTGGAACGCGTCTGTGAACTAAAACAATGATGATTGAACAGTATTCTGACAAGTCCGCGATCCACGTGTATAGTACTATAGTGGCTATAGTATGTATATAGGTAGTTGGTACAACAGAAGTTTAAATTACATTCACTTGAAAATTAATTTATTTTATAACTTATAGACTTTGTGTAAATATATTATTATAATTTTTTTGGAGAGATATAATATTAAATCTAAAAAATAAAAATGACCAAATTGTGATTGAAAGTAAAAAGTTTTATTTTTATTTTATTTTTGGTATTTTTTAATTTCACGATGATAAAGAACTTTCAGCTATAGATATATTAGGCACCTGTATTATATATTTATATTTAATAAAATTCAATTTTAAAAGACAAAACTTAAATCCAATAAAGAAAAACGTAATTCTTATTATATTGCGCTTGTATTTTAACATTTGGATGGAAATATAGTTTTATAATATTTTAAAACAATTTAAACATTTTGATCGTGTTAGAGACTTATAATTAAATTTAAACATTATTTGATGAGATGACGATTGAATAYATTTTCCAATCCACTGACTCGATGTCACTTAAGATATTTGTCAACCTAACCTACTACACACAGGGTGTCGTTAATCAATCGGATACGATGTAATACATAATACATAATTTTATTATATTTCGAAAACACGCAGTATTTTGTTTGGGTTAGGGATCACAAAAATGTTATACCCCGTATATGATTAGTGGGGTCGTCCGATGGTTGTAAGAAAACCGCATATTAATGGAAGACAAAAAAATAAAATACAGGCTATAATCAGTTGTCAAGATAAAGTGAAAACACAACTGACTAGTCATGATTAATTTTAAAAGGAGAACTGTAGATAAATTGGGAAACAACAAAATATTCACCGTCAGGCCACTAGTGTTGGACGACGATAGCCGCCGTCTACGGTCAGCCGGCTTATAAATCTTCAGTGACAAGAGACTTAACTTGTTGAGGTATCTGTGTATAATATTACATATTTATATATATATACCGTACATCCCCGGGTCCCCACCTACGGAATGTCAGAGAGAAGACAATTGTTTAAATTATCGTCTGTCAAATACGGTAATTAGGCGTTCCTTAGCAAGGACAAATTCAAATTGTCGCCCATTCATATTGTGCTGCGGTGGAGATTACAAATATAATTGTCTCGATGTATATMCTCTAGAATCTCAGTGCACAGATTTAGAATTTCTGAGCTTAACAGTAATTTAGTCAGTCTTGGTTTATTAAATTGAATGAAATATTTTTTTTTAAGTATAGCGTAACAATAGAATAATACTATAACATCAGTGAACGTTCTAATTTTTCGTTAAGAGAAAAATCCAACCCCGTAATAAATGTTGATTAGTAACGGAAAATGTAATTCTACTAAACCAAGTTTTGCACTTTGTTTTAAATATATTTTTAGTTTTATTGCAAGAACTTTAAATTAATATGAGCCACACGATTTATAAGTTACAATAGAATATATTATACATTTTCTGATTAATATAATATATTTTTTAGTGATTTAACGCACCTGTTAATTGTTATAAGCAACAAAACATAATATTTTAACCTTGCCATCAACCGAAATTGTCATACCGGATAGACTTATTTCAAAATATTTTATATTAATTTTTTGGTGGGCGCATGCTTATAATTGTATTATTATCATTATTATTTTATTCGAATCGATATGGTGGGTTGAAATCGTTGTARAACAAGTCGTTTAAAAGCAATAYGAAAACACATACTTGG